CACCTTCGGACGAGTCCGTAGAGCCGAGTGGTCCGTACCCAGAGCTTGTGGGTTGCCTCATGTACCTGATGACGTGCACACGACCTGACCTCGCGTACCCTCTCAGCCTTCTGGCTCACTACGTGGCTCCCGGTAGGCACCGAAAGGTGCACTGGGATGCTGTGAAGAGGGTACTGCATTACCTGTGCAGTACGTCGGGTATGGGGCTCGTGCTTGGAGGACGGGGCCAGTTGTTCTCACTGGTCACGCAAACGCCTCCTGGGTTGACGACTCAGCTACGCAGCGGTCGTCACAGGTTTACACCTTCAGCCTTTGTTCCGGCTCTGTTTCTTGGTGGTCTACCCGCTCGTCTTCGGTTCTCAGCTCCAGTTGTGAGGCTGAGATCTACGCCGGGGCCATGGCTGCTCAGGAGCTACGCTGGCTCACCTACCTGCTGACCGACTTGGGAGAGCAGCCTCGTTCGCCTCCAGTTCTGTACGTAGACAATAAGGCCATGATTGCCTTGTGTCAGGAGCACTGACTGGAGCACAGAATGAAGCACATTGCTCTGCGATACTTCCTTGCTCGAGAGTTGCAGCAGCGTGGCCAGCTTCGTCTTGCATACGTGGCCACTCGGGCCAACACTGCTGATGTCTTCACCAAGGCACTTCCGCCTGGTGATCATCAGCGTTTTACTACTGTGTTAGGCCTTGTGCCTACACTTTAGCAAATCCGTCCAGCGATTTCACATTGTCAATCTAAGGTAGCATCGTTTTAAGTGTCTCTTGCAGCTTCCTTGGAGTCAGAGGGTTCGGGCAGGCAGTGAGTGTTGTCAGTAATGGGCCTCCTCTACTTACTGATGGCGTTTCTTTGCTGCCTAGACTCAATTCCATGTGTCGCTCCCTGGCGTTTCTCTCCTCATGGAACTCACTCCTGCGGTGGCCTGGCCTGTGGCACACAAAGAAGCATCCTTGGAATGGCATAACAGCTGTGTTTTGTCGCAACAATGTGTACTGTGGTGTATTCGAGCATTCCTTGAGTGCGTTGCATAGTGATAGCCATTTGGTTGATGACAGGACCCCTGTGTGGGGATGGAGTCTCGAGTTCAGTAAATTCAATATGAATCCCTCAACTACGTGGCTATACATGTATATATGCACGTTACAATACAGGTAACCAGGATGTTACGGAAATGTTCCGTGCATAGGAAACCATTGGGAACGGAACCTTCCCGTATTCGGTAGAAGAAATTCAGACGACGTACTCTCACACGCCCCCCCCTCAAAGCTGGGTGGTGCGAGAAACACCCTGATTAACAAGATAATCCTTAAGTGTATGGCGTGCGTTGCCCATATCAGCTTCTCTAACCCAACTGTCCTCCGATGGGTCATTTCCCTTCCAACGGATCAGGAACTCGAACGTGTTCCTGTGTCGGCATCAATGCATGAGGACACGTTCCACCTCGTACTCTGGTTCATCGTTGTACAATAACAAGTTGCGGTGGCAGTCATGGCGTCCCTGGTATTGTTGATTTGGGTCTTTGTAGGGTTTCAACAGCTGAACATGGAAAGCATTGTGAAGATTCCACGTAGTCGGTAAGCGCAAGCGAAGTGTTACGGGTGTCGCCATGCTCTCAACGCGAAAAGGACCGCAGAAGCGAGGTCGGAGCTTGGACGGGAAGTGAGATAAGTCCAATTTGCGTGCGTCCAAAAGAACATGGTCTCCGACCGCTATTGAGTAATCATGTCGCTGTCGTCCGCATGCTGCTTCTGTGGGTTCTCCATCTTGGTGAGACGTCGCTGAGTTTTCTCCCATAGCTACTGCACAGTGGTGACGAAGTCCTAAGCGGCTTGGACGTGTGCCAGTATAGTTGGGTGCTGTGGTGTGATGGGTTACATCCGTAGCACAGGAAGAAGGGTAATTTCCCTGTAGCCTTGTGTGAAGTGTTGTTGTAAGCGAACTCTAGAGTCCGTAACTGTAGATTCCGATGGCTGGTGTGATCTTTGTATGTAGTATGCAGTAACTGTTCGACCACTTGATTGAGTCTCTCTGTCTGTTTGGGAGTGGTATGCTGAAGTCATTGCAAGTTTTGTCCCCAACAAAACCATGAGATTTCTCCAAAATTAATTAGTAAACTTTGGGTCTCTGTTTGAGATGAGTTTAGCGTGGATGCCGTGGATGGTGACGATGCGGTCTAAGAAGTGGCGAGCATTTGCTTCAACTATAGCCGTAGTGTTGGTAGGGATGAAGTGTCCCATTTCAGAGAATTTATCGATCACTACAACTATAGCATCATGACCTCGAGAGTACAGTAAGGGATTGTAATTCCATACACTTTTGGTTCTAGTATGGTTCATGCCCAAGTTGGACCCTAAGATTTCAGAGTGCTTAGAGGAGGTTCTAAGATTTTTGTAGCAACCAAGGTTGGCTCGCTGCAGTTCGCGGCGACGACGACGAGGCCGGACATCGCCTTTGCCTGCAGCAAGCCGGGGAGTGGCCTCACAGTGAGGAGCGACCAGCACTAGTGCGAGGTCGACCGCTGCCTTGCCTACCTCACCGACACCCGCGACACCGCCGGGAGTTTGGCGGTGGACCAGAGTCGCTGGAGCTGATCGGCTACGTGGACGCCGACGACGCGGGCGACAAGCAGAACCAGACGAGCACGGGCAGCTACGTGTTCGCCTTCGTAGGGGCCGCGGTCTCCTGGCCGAGCCAGCGCATCAAGTGCGCGACACTCTCCTCGACCGAGTCGGAGTACGTCGCGGCCACGGACGTCGGCAAGGAGGGGCGTTGACTCCGCTTCCTCCTTGCCGAGTTCAAGCAGCTCGATGCTGGGAAGCCGACCATCCTCCTTGTGGACAACAAGTCGTCAATCACTGTCGCTGAGGGCTTGGGGCTGACAGGCAACCTCAAGCACTTGGAGCGACGCTATTCCTGGCTGCAACACATGGTGAGGCGTGGGAATTTCGTGCTGAAGTACATCCCGACCACCGAGCAGCCGGCAGACTTCCTGACGAAGGCGCTGCATTTTCCGGCTTTCAACCGGTGCTCTGTCGCCATCGGCCAAGTTTGTCTGGCCGACGTCGGCGACGACGACGACGATGTGCAGCAGTAGGTGCCGTGCCCTTCTGCACGGCTGGTGCGGTGATGGCGTGCTGTGTATGGGGTGCACGCCGAGGACGAGTTTTCTCCGTGGAGTACTGCCGTGTGGGCTGGAGGCCCAAGCGTGAGCGCGGCAGGGGAGTGTTAACAGGAATGGAGTGTTGGCCCCGCCCTCGCTTTGGCAACGCCGACGACTTGGTCGGATGTGTGGGAGAAGCAGCCAACCGTTCACAGTGGGAGAGCTGCTCGACGAGCTGCAGGGGACCGCTGTGGTGTTGCTGTCGACCAGGGAGCTCAACAGGTGCAGCTGACTGGGCTGGGTGACGGGTGGGCCGTCGACCAGGAGGAGCACTTCGACCGGGAGGTCGACGGAGCAGTCCGACGACCTGACAAGTGAGCAGTCAGTTCTTGTCAACCGAAGGGGTCCGTCGACCAGGGGGTAGCTCGACAGGAGCTGTGGTCGACCAGAGGCACCTGGTGGTCGACCAGAGGCAGTGGTGGTCGACCAGAGCACTTGGTGGTCGATTGGGTAACCTGCTCGACGCGTTTTGCGGAGGCACGCGAACGTCGTCGAGGTCGCGATGGCGAAGGCGACTTCGGGTTGGTATCCTGAAGTCGATGTGGCTCGTCACGCGCAGACAACAGCCGACGGATGCACAACGGTGCAAGTCGGGCCAATCGTCTGCGCACACCTACGAGCGTACGCACTGCTGTCTTCTACGGGGCAACGCTGGACAGCCGCTTTGCTGGAGCGTTGGCATGCCGTCGACCTGCAGCGTTGGTAGGTCGCTCTTCTGCAGTGCTGGCGCGGCTCCTCTACGCAACGCTGGCAGGCGGTCGACCATGCTGTGCTGTCGGTCGACCAGGCTAGCTGCGGAGTTGCTAGGTGCCTGATGTAGTCATTTCTGTGATTGCTTGTTAAATCATTCTGTAATTCCAACTTTGTCTAGTGAAACTCTTGCCGGTTTCTCCCGTGTATGTGCAAGCACTAAGGAACTAAGCAAAGCTACGATCACTCCTATTAGTTCGTGCCAACCCCCGTAGTCTAGCTCTTTACCGTTGTAGAGTGATTCTCCGCAAAGATTGCCCGTCGTACCGAAACTTCGACCGCGCTACTGTGGACCATTCCAAATCAGCCACGATCACCCCAGTTACCGCCCATTTACTGTTGCTGACAGATTGGTGTATCAGCCCATCATTCCACGTCAGGCTGCTTCGCCCGTACATCCCTACCACAAATCAACTGCCACGACACCGCCAACCATCCATGACTCGCCCTGCATCGGAGCCGATCGTCGAGCCCTAGAAAATTCTGAGCCATCGGATTCGCCACCCCACAGGCATCAAGAGGATCGGGTTCCTCGTTCTCTGGAAGGACCGCACGCCAACTGAAGATAGCTAGATGCCCCTGGCCAACATCGAAAACCGCCTTGCCCTGCAAGTGTACCTAAGGAGCCGGGGTTTCCACAATATACACGCACTCGCGTAGCGGAGGGGGCTTCTTCAGGGGGGGGGGTAGTGTAAGGAACTTTTCGGCAATCCTTACTGCGTTCTTCAACATCTCGTACAGCAGGAGCCGTTGTTCGCCCGTTACTGCTAACGGAGATTCGCCAACATTCGCGCGCACTATTCACCAAACCATGCACCGCTGACCCGGACGAGTCGGCCTACGCTTCGGGACAAGACCGAACTTCTATGCCAGCCTAGCACTAGCTAGCTCGCATGCAACGCGTTACCGTTTGCATGTTTCGCGTTTAAGTATTCGCTCATGCCTTCTCTCCTACTTTGTACTAGTTTGACAGCCTAGTGCAATCCTCTGTTCCATTGCACCCGTAACACATTCACAATGTCGCTTCCCTCGCACATTCAATCACGACATTGCCGATTTCGTCGCTCACATACCACTCACCGAACCAGAAATGACTGGTGGAGCTAACCTGGACTTGTTCCGCCATTTGCTCCTCTATCCCTCAGCTTCCGCCAACCTCCCCTTCCGCCACGCACCCTCGCCATACAGCTCCCTCCCGCCCTTTGCCCACTCGCGAGTCCCTCGTGGTAACCCGCCCGCCACTTCCCCTCTCGCCTATTTCTCCCGCCCTTTCCTGTCCCTTGATGCCACTTCTTTCTCCAACCCCGCCATCCCATTCATCCCATCGCGAGTCTCGCCAGGACCGTTGCTGCCACCTGTGCATCTTCACTCATCTTTCGGACCCATGTCGAGAGTCGCGCAGAGCCAGCCGCAGATTTCAGATTGCGCACCGCCCGTGCAGTAGTGTGGGGAAAGCATCGCCCTCGACAGGCGCCGTGAGCACTGGGTGCCGTCGCGAGTGCTCCTTACCTCTTCACGTTTGCCGCGCTCCAGGAGCCTCAGCACAAGATCCTTTTTTTTGCAACTTTCAGAAAAGGAGCCATCGACTTAGGAGCCTCAGTATAGGACTCTCGATATAGGACTCTCTCTATACGACTTAGATGTAGGGCCCTTGTTTGAGGACCCTAGGTATGCGACCCTCGGTATAGGACATTTAATACAGGGACCCCGATATAAGACCCTCCAACTACGACCGCATTTACGACCCTCGATATAGGACCGTTGATACTGGGCCCTCGGTGCACGAACCTCGGTGTAGGTCAACAATTGCAAGTGCTAACGCTGGCATGTGCGTGCAACGGCTGTAATCGCGCGGGCAGCGACGTGCCTCACGACTCCTCGTGCGCGCCGCCATGGGGTCCGTGGAGGAGGCGGGGGGGCGGCAGGTGGACCTCCGCCGAGCGGCGTCGGCGGGCGTGCTGCAGGCGGAGGACCGCGCGCACGCCGCGGCGGACGCGCTGCAGCAGCACCGCGCGGACCAGCAGCAGCAGCAGCCGGCGGCGCGCGCGCTGCCGGGGTGGTCGACGCGGCTGATCGACTACTTCGTGGTGTGCGGGCTGGGCGCGGAGGTGCGCACCATGGACGGGCAGCGCGGCTTCCACGGCGTCACGGCGCGCGACGGCGACCCCATGCTGTACCAGCCGCAGATGACGCCGCTCGACTTCTACCCGCCCAAGGAGCACAAGAAATTCGGCGTCCCCGAGGGGCTCCCCATGGTGCGCCGCTCCGCGCGCCCACACGGCTTTCCATGGGCCCAACCCTTCCCCTCCCAACCCCCCCACCCCCGCCTTCACCCCCCACCCCCCCGCGCCCTTTCCTTCTCGCGCGCCTACTATTTGCCACCGTGTCATCCCCCTCGCCTCTCGCCCCATCTTTGGCCGTTGGCATGCGTTGTCTTCTTGTGGTTCCCCTCCACGTGTCTCACCCCCTCCCTCTTCTCTCGCTTCCCGCCTGCCTCCCACTCCACCAGTCTTGCTATCCCTCCTTCCCTCCCTCCTTCCCTCCCTCCCTCCCTCCCTCCCTCCCTCCCTCCCTCCCTCCCTCCCTCCCTCCCTCCCTCCCTCCCTCCCTCCCTCCCTCTCGTCTCTCCCCACCCCTTTCCTCGATCCCCTCCTGTCTCCTCCCCTCCTCTCTCCTCCCTTTCCCTCTCCTCCCCTCTCCTCTCCCCGTCCCCTCTCCTCGCCTCCCATCTCCCCCCTTCGCATCGCCTCCCCTCCCCTCGCCTCGCCTCCGCTCTCCCCCCTTCGCCTCGCCTCCCCTCCCCTCACATCCCTTCCCCTTGCGTCCCCGCCTCGCCTCCCCTCGCCTCGCCGCGTGGCAATGCACCTTCCTCTGTATCCCCCACGGCCGCGCAGGTGGTGATGCCGCGGGGGCTGCGTTTCTATGAGAGAGGGCCGTTTTCCGGTGACAAGAGCACTCAGCCGCGCTCTTACCCCATGGTCATCACAGGTGGGTGGGTCATCACAGGTGCACGGGCAGCACAAGTAATGGCATAAGGCATTTGGAGCACCAGCATCCAATGAATAACCGAACCTAGCATCGTGGACCCTGGAGTGCATGTCGATGTTAACCGAACCTAGCAGCGTGGTGTGGTGGTTGCCATTTGGCTCGTTATGGTTTCATGTTCAGATTCGAATGAGCCATGGAATACGAGGCACTTGAGTCTCACGGGCCTCCAGCATCACACCCATCCACGCCCGTTACCCTGTAACACAGCATGCACTGCAGCTCTCGCACATTTCGCCCATGATGGGATGGGATGGGATGGGATGGGATGGGATGGGATGGGATGGGATGGGATGGGATGGGATGGGATGGGATGGGATGCGATGGGATGGGATGGGATGGGACGGGACGGGACGGGACGGGACGGGACGGGACGGGACGGGACGGGACGGGACGGGACGGGACGGGACGGGACGGGATGGGATGGGATGGGTTGGGATGGGATGGGATGGGATGGGATGGGATGCCCTGCGTTGCCACTTGCTTGCTGCTCGCTCCCCACACCAAGCTCCTCCCTCTTCCCAATGTTCCCGCGTTACCCCCCTTCTCCCCTCCCCTCCCACCCCCCTTTGTCGCAGACACGGTGGGCACCAAGGTGTGTGTGACGGTGGTGGCGTTCCGCGACCCGGTGGAGGAGGAGAGGAGTTGATTTGAAACTCACCTTAATCACACCAACCTCTCCCCTCCCCCCAACCCCTTGTTGCGCACCCCTTCCCCGCGCCCCTTCCCCGTGCCCCTCTCTCCCCCCTGTCCCTCGCGCCCAGACACGGTGGGGACGAAGGTGTATGTGACAGTGGTGGCGTTCCGCGACCCAGTGGAGGAGGACGTGGCGGAGGCGTGGGGCATCCCCGCCTCGCACTACGTCGACAAGTGCCTCTGCCTCGTGTCCCACTGGCCCTTCTTCCACACCTTCACCCAGGCGCTCGAGGAGATCCACCGCATGTGCTTCTGCACCGCTGGCTGCACGTGAGGCAGTAAAAGGAGGGAGTCAATGGGGGCGGCAGGGGCAGCGGGGTCAATTGGGAGTGGGTGTAAGTGAAAGGGGTCAGTCAATGTGGTGACCACGATGTGGTCACTGGGGTGAGAGGGGCCGGAGGGTGGAATGGGGTGAATGGCAAGGCGTGTGTTGATGCCAGCACAGCACTGCACGTTTCCCTGGAATTCTCCCGTGCGGAACCACCTCCTCGTCACACCACCTCTCCTCATCCACCTGCTGCCCACTCCCTCTCCTCCCCTTTTCCCCCACCAATAGGCAGCCAGTGTGGGAGCTGGTGCAGCACCTAGTGACGCCCGTGCCACTGCCCGACCACCACCCCTCATCCACCTCATCCAGCTAATCCACCTCCCCTGCCTCCCTCTCCTCCCCCCCCTCCCCCTCCCTCTCCTCCCCCTCCCCCCCACAGGCAGCCAGTGTGGGAGCTGGTGCAGCACCTGGTGACGGCCGTGCCGCTGCCCGACCCCGGGCGGCGCTCCGTGGTGTTTTCTGTGGAGAAGTGCCTCCTCTTCTGCGAGGCGCCGCCGCCCGCCACCCTGCCCGCCGTGCAGGTGGGTGCTGGGGGGGCGTGGGGGCGTGGAATAATGGGTGCTGGGGGGGCGTGGGGGCGTGGAATAATGGGTGCTGGGGGGGCGTGGAATAATGGGTGCTGGGGGGGCGTGGAATAATGGGTGTTGGGGTGGCGTGGAATAATGGGTGCTGGGGTGGCGTGGAATAATGGGTGCTGGGGGGGCGTGAAATAATGGGTGCTGGGGTGGCGTGGAATAGTGGGTGCTGGGGTGGCGTGGAATAATGGGCGCGTGGGGGCGTGGAATAATTGGCGCATGGGGGCGTGGAATAATGGGGGCGTGGGGGCATGGGGGCGTGGGGGCGTGGGGGGCTGGGGGTATGGGAGGGATGCGCTACTGCCCCTGTGCAGGGTGAGGGATGCGCTACTGCCCCTGTGCAGGGTGAGGGATGCGCTACTGCCCCTGTGCACGGTGAGGGATGCGCTACTGCCCCTGTGCAGGGTGAGATCCAATGAGTGATGGGTAGGGGTGGTGATGGGTAGGGGTGGTGATGGGTAGGGGTGGTGATGGGTAGGGGTGGTGATGGGTGTGTTGCGGGGCGTGTCATGTGTGACAGCAACAACAACAAGTGCACAGCAACTTGGGCACAAGTGATTCTCTCTATTCCTCCTTGGACCTTCACCCTTGCTTCCACCTCCTCGATTTATCCCCTCCCCCCTCGCCCCTCGCCCCTCCGCCGTCATCTGAGTACCTCCTGCTTCCTCCCCTACCGCTCCCCCATGTGCTCCCATGTGTGCGGTGTGGTGCGGTGTGGTGCGCCCACCCGGCCTGGCGGCACGGCGTGGCCCCATCAGCTCTCATTCCACCCGTTGGTGCGCAGCCTGGACGTGGACAACATCATTCTGCTCGTCACCGCCGTGCTGCTTGAGAAGCGCATCCTCCTCCGTGCCACCCAGTGAGTGCCGCCCAGTGAATGCGCTCAGTGCACCTACGTGACTTCCTTCAGCCCTTCACACCCACCCACCCGGTGAGTGTGAGTGTGATGTGATGTGAGAGCCACCCGGCGTCCATGGCCCTCGCGCTTCTCCGTGTCTCCATGCATGCCCACCTCCCCCCTCCTCCCGCTTTATCAGCGTACTGCTTCCCGCCTCCCATGTCCCCTGTGTGGCGCTGCAGGTATGAGCTGCTGACGCTGGTGGCGGAGTCGGTGTCTCACCTCATCTACCCCTTCAAGTGGGCGGTGAGCAACCGCACCCTCAAGCATGCGATAGGGATACACACATGCATGCATGCATGCTTGTGGTGGCATGGACACATTCATTAACATGCATGCCTGTGACCCCCTCCCTTTAATACCTCCCTCTACCCCCACTCTGCCTACATTCCCCATCCCCCCTATCCCCTCTTTACCCCCCCTCCTCCCCCCCCCCACCCCCTGCAGTACCCCTACACGCCCGTGCTGCCGCTCAACAAGCTGGAGCTCGTGCACATGCCGGGAAGCTTCCTCTTCGGCATCGTGCCGACGCGGTGGACGGACCACGACCTGCCGGGCGGGGTGAGTGAGAGGGTCACCCCGGGCCACACACCTCTGCCTTGGGGCTCCCCCCCGCATCCACCCTTCAGCGTTCTCGGGTCAGGGTTTGGAGAATGGAGGTTCAGGGTGGAGGGTTGTGTGCAGTGTGGATGGCGGGCCATGCCGTGGGATGCCGCGCTCCGTGTGCGAGTCATGGCATGGCGTGGCATGGCATGGCATGGCATGGCATGGCATGGCATGGCAGCATCTGATGGGGGCAGATCCATCGCCGGCCACACACCTGCTCCCATGCACCTGCCCTCGCCCTCCCTTGCCTGCCACGCCATCGTCATGTCATGTTGCTCACCCATGCGCGTCCAACCCACCACCCCTCCCCCACACCCCCCCCCCTTCCCGCCTCCCCCCCTTGCCCCGCCATCCGGCCCCTCCCTCCCCCCCCCCCCCTGTGTGCTGTGCGGGTGGCAGGTGATGGTGGTGGACCTGGACGCCAACCGCATCGCCATCACCACCAGCGGCTACGACGACGACGGAGACACCATTCCCCCTCTGCCCGAGCCCGAGAACACGCAGGTGCGCGCCCTGAGCGGTGGGGGTGGGGGGGGGAACACGGGGTGAGGGAGTGAGCACAGGAGAACACAGGAGAGGGGTCGAGAATTGCGGGTTCGCCTTGCCCTTTCAGCTTTTGCATCTCCTGCCTCATCCGCCCGAGCCTGCAGGTTCGGGAGGCGCTGCTGCAGCTGGTGGCGCCGGACCTGATGGCGTTGGACCAGGCGCGCACACGCGACTTCAGCTGCGACCTGCACAAGTTCAGACGCCCCTGGGGCCGCCTGCACGACCGCGAGATCCGGTGAGGCCAGCGGGGGAGGGGAGAGGGAAGGGAAGGGGAGATGCGGTGTGGTGAGGTTATGAGGTATGGTGAGGGCGCAGGGGGCGCCTGCACGACCGCGAGTTCCAGTGAGGGCAGGAAGGGGGACGTGCAGTGCCTTGGTGGTGGGGGAGGCATGAGAGTGAACATGATGGCTGTTGTGCTGTGCTGTCGTGTGTGCGTCCTGCCTGCCCCTCGTGCTTCACCACCTGCCTCCTCACTCTCTTGCCTCCCCGCCCTCCCCTCCCTGCCCTCCCATCCCGCCTGTCAGATTAATCTTCTTTCGCTTCTTCGCATCCATCCTCTGCAGCTACAGACATTTTGTGGTACGATGCGGTGTGATGCGGTGTTGTGCAGTATGATGGGGTGCCATGCAGTTGCTGCAGTGCCATGCGGTGCCATGTGGTGCCATGTGGTATGGAGCTGTTTCTTCTGGTTGCCTTGTTGGTTGCTCAAGCCATGCCAGCACAATCCCCTGCATAGCCGCCTCCCATGCTGCCGCAGGCGTGCTCCATGCTCGTGTGCTGCATACTCATTTGCTGCACGGCACCACTGGGCTGTGTCAGCTGCATCTGCGCACTTCGTCTCCCCACTCCGCCTCTCTGTTCACCCGGTCCACCCCCTCTACCCCCTTGCCCCCCTCGCCCCCTGTGCTCTGACCTGACCTCATCGGTCCACATCAATTCCACTTTTGAGACGTCTCAAAAGTCACCCTCGCCCCCCTCATCCCATCCCATCCCATCCCATCCCATCCCGCACTCGCCGTGCAGGACAAGGTGGTGGAGCCATCAGGCCACGTCAAGTCGACGTTCAACAAGGCCAGCTTCTTCCGCAAGCGCGCCAAGGTCACCGGCAACACCGACGAGCCCCTCGTGAGTGCCTGCCACGTGGGGGAAGAGGTTCTATGAGGGCACATGCACGCGCGCCCATGGGCCATGCCTTGCATTGCCACATGCAACGCTGCCACCTGCTCCTTGGCGCCACTGCCATAAAGAAAGCACAGCACATCCCCCTACTCTTTTCACACCCCCACCGCACGCCCCTACCTCCACGCCCCTTCTCCTCCACGCCCCCCCGTGTACACGCCCCCCCGTGTACACGCACAGATATCGCAGCTGCTACACACGCAGTGCTGGCAGCAGTTCCTGGACGGCAGCAGCAGCGGGGTGGTGTCATTCTTTGACCGTGCGCTGGTGGAGCTGGAGGCGCTTGACATCGCCACCGGCCCCGCCATGGCGTCTGTGGACCTCGCTGATGATGACGGGGCTCCCGAGATTGTCACCGTGCCGCCTCCCACACCTAAAGGTGCGCACCTGTGCACCTGGACTGGAGGGTGTTTCCGTGCAGTTGGGGGGTGTGGCGGGCAAGGCAGCAGGCAGCGCGCTGCAGTGGTGACGGCTCGTGTGCTCTGAGAGAGCAACCAGTTCTCGCCCGCCACACCTTCCCCTTGGAAACCCCTTCCCCTCCACACCGCCGCACCGCACCTCCTTCGGGCTCCAAACACACCTCCCTCCCGCTGTTCTATTCTGCTTTGCGTGCTCTCTCCCCATGGCAGAGCGGGCAGGGGTGCAGTACTCGCAGCGGGCGTTCCCTCAATGGAGCGCAGTGCAGAGGAGAAGCAGTTTTTGAGACGCCCCAAAATCCCTCTGTCCGCTCCTAACACGCTCCCCACCCCGTTCCATTCTCCCCACCATGGCAGAGCGGGCGGGGGGGCGGTACACGCACCGGGCGTTCCCATCGTTGGAGCGCAGTGCGGAGGAGAAGCAGCGGCGCTACGAGTTCCTGCAGCAGGTGCGCCTCGCCGCCGACGCCCAACACAACTCCGAGGCGCGCCGCGTCGTCAGGTGAGCTGCGGTGCTGTGCGGTGTGTGATAGTGTGGAAGTGGCAGATGTGAAGAAGCAGCACAGTGGGGCACACGGCGTGGGGAGGTGCAGGTCGTGCAAGTGCACAGCAGTGTGTGGGTGGTGACGTGCAGTGCACGGGTACTGCTGGGGGATACGGCAGGGGCAGGTTGGAGGGGGAGTGGGCGCCGCAGTTCTCAGGGGGCGGGGGGGAGGGGCACGTCAATCTTGAGTCGGTTGTTATCTGCATTGTCCATGCTCCTCGCCCCATCTCTCACCTCGCCACCGCACGCACACTGCACACCATCATCCTCCCTGTACCTTCCTTGGCCTGCCGCCACTCATCTGCCACTCTTCCCCTCTCTGTGTTCCCCTTCTCCGCCTCTGTCGTCCCGGGCGCCCCTCCTTACATGCTGTGTGACCATGGGCGGGGCGGGAGGCAGTTCGGATGTGGAGGAGGCGGTGGTGCTGGAGGAGAGGAGCCGCGGCACCAACAGACTGCGCGAACAGGAGGTGTGGAGGGGGAAAGGGGAGGGGAGGTGGAGGAAGGGGTTGGGGTGTGAGGGAACAGGGATGTGGGGTGGTTGGAGGCATCACATTGCCGTCCAGTGCAGTTGCTGTCTCCCAGCAACGGATTGTTCAAGCAACCACGCTCATGGCCACTGCCACCGTTGCTGCACCGCTCATTCGCTCCTCGTGGTCGCCCTTGCTTCCGTCATCTCACCCTTCATTCCCCTCCCTTCCCTCTCCCCCTCACCACCTCTCATTCCGCTTCCTCCCCCCTCACCCACTCAGCATCCCCCTCGCTTTCCCCCGTTTTTCGTTCACTGTGCCACTCTCAAATCCACTTTGAACTTCCAATGTTTTCCCGCATTTCCCCTCCCCTTCACCCCACCAGGAGCGCGATGCAATGGTGGGCGCCATCAAGGGCAAGTTCTCCGTGAGTGCCCCGCTGCTCCCCCTCGACCCCTGTCCCCCACGCCACTGCCATGCTCTCGGTTGCTCCACTCCCTCGCACCCCTGCGCACTTGGCCATGCGCCATGCCATGCATGCTCTGCCGCCTGCCCTTTTTCTGCCACACGTACTTCTGCTTCTCCCCAACCTCCTGCTGCCTCACTGCGTTCGCCTTCCACGTTCCCCTGCCCCCTGTTCCGTGCCCCCTGCTCCCTGCCTCCCTGCACCCTTCCTTCTGCCCCCCTGCACCCTTCCCCACGCCCCCCTGCGCCCTTCTCCCTGCCCCTCTGCCCCCTGTGTCGTACCCCAACCCCCTACCCCCGGGGAGCAGAAGCTATGGGACCAGCTGCTGGCGCTGCCACCAGACGAGGAGCCGCTGTCGTCGCGCGAGTACGGCACCATCTATGGTGAGAGGCTGTGTGGGGGCAGCGGGGCATGGCATGGCAGTGCACGGGCAGCAGGAGCACGGGCACGGCCCACAGCAGCACCGCCTTCCCCAGCAGCATGTCACACTGGCGCCTTGACTTGCTGCACCCCCACCTCCATTCGCTTCGTCCCTTTCCCGTGTGCTCCCTCTCTCGCCACTTGTCATGACCTACCTCTTCTGTGGGACCCCCTTGCTTGTTCTACTCCTGCCATGTCCCTGGCTGTGTCGCCTTCACCATCTCTCACTTCATGCCCCCCATGCCCCCATGCCCCCATGCCCCCATGCCCCCATGCCCCCATGCCCCCATGCCCCCATGCCCCCATGCCCCCATGCCCCCATGCCCCCATGCCCCCATGCCCCCATGCCCCCATGCCCCCATGCCCCCATGCCCCCATGCCCCCATGCCCCCATGCCCCCATGCCCCCATGCCCCCATGCCCCCATGCCCCCATGCCCCCATGCCCCCATGCCCCCATGCCCCCATGCCCCCATGCCCCCATGCCCCCATGCCCCCATGCCCCCATGCCCCCATGCCCCCATGCCCCCATGCCCCCATGCCCCCATGCCCCCATGCCCCCATGCCCCCATGCCCCCCATGCCCCCATGCCCCCATGCCCCCATGCCCCCATGCCCCCATGCCCCCATGCCCCCATGCCCCCATGCCCCCATGCCCCCATGCCCCCATCCCCATGCCCCCATGCCCCCATGCCCCCATGCCCCCATGCCCCCATGCCCCCATGCCCCCATGCCCCCATGCCCCCATGCCCCATGCCCCCATGCCCACCATGCCCCCCCATGCCCCCATGCCCCCCATGCCCCATGCCCCCATGCCCCCATGCCCCCATGCCCCCATGCCCCCATGCCCCCATGCCCCCATGCCCCCATGCCCCCATGCCCCCATGCCCCCCATGCCCCCATGCCCCCATGCCCCCATGCACCCCATGCCCCCATGCCCCCATGCCCCCATGCCCCCATGCCCCCATGGCCCCCATGCCCCCATGCCCCCATGCCCCCATGCCCCTATAGCCCCCATGCCCCCATGCCCCCATGCCCCCATGCCCCCATGCCCCCATGCCCCATGCCCCCATGCCCCCATGCCCCCATGCCCCCATGCCCCCATGCCCCCATGCCCCCATGCCCCCATGCCCCCATGCCCCCATGCCCCCATGCCCCCATGCCCCCATGCCCCCATGCCCCCATGCCCCCCATGCCCCCATGGCCCCCATGCCCCCATGCCCCCATGCCCCCATGCCCCCATGCCCCATCCCATGCCCCCATGCCCCATGCCCCCATGCCCCCATGCCCCCATGCCCCCATGCCCCATGCCCCCATGCCCCCATGCCCCCATGCCCCCATGCCCCCATGCCCCCATGCCCCCATGCCCCCATGCCCCCATGCCCCCATGCCCCCATGCCCCCATGCCCCCATGCCCCATGCCCCCATGCCCCCATGCCCCCATGCCCCCATGCCCCCATGCCCCCATGCCCCCATGCCCCCATGCCCCCATGCCCCCATGCCCCCATGCCCCCATGCCCCCATGCCCCCATGCCCCCATGCCCCCATGCCCCCATGCCCCCATGCCCCCATGCCCCCATGCCCCCATGCCCCCATGCCCCCATGCCCCCATGCCCCCATGCCCCCATGCCCCCATGCCCCCATGCCCCCATGCCCCCATGCCCCCATGCCCCCATGCCCCCATGCCCCCATGCCCCCATGCCCCCATGCCCCCATGCCCCCATGCCCCCATGCCCCCATGCCCCCATGCCCCATGCCCCATGCCCCATGCCCCCATGCCCCATGCCCCATGCCCCCATGCCCCCATGCCCCCATGCCCCCATGCCCCAGCCCCATGCCCCATGCCCCCATGCCCCCATGCCCCCATGCCCCCATGCCCCAGCCCATGCCCCCCATGCCCCCATGCCCCCCCATGCCCCATGCCCCCATGCCCTCCATGCCCCCATGCCCCCATGCCCCCATGCCCCATGCCCCCATGCCCCCAGGCCCCATGCCCCCATGCCCCATGCCCCCATGCCCCCATGCCCCATGCCCCCATGCCCCCATGCCCCCATGCCCCCATGCCCCCATGCCCCCATGCCCCATGCCCCCATGCCCCCATGCCCCCATGCCCCCATGCCCCATGCCCCCATGCCCCCATGCCCCCATGCCCCCATGCCCCCATGCCCCCATGCCCCCATGCCCCCATGCCCCCATGCCCCCATGCCCCCATGCCCCCATGCCCCCATGCCCCCCATGCCCCCATGCCCCCATGCCCCCATGCCCCATGCCCCCATGCCCCCATGCCCCCATGCCCCCATGCCCCCATGCCCCCATGCCCCCATGCCCCCATGCCCAGCCCCATGCCCCCATGCCCCATGCCCCCATGCCCCCATGCCCCATGCCCCATGCCCCCCATGCCCCCATGCCCCCATGCCCCCATGCCCCCATGCCCCCATGCCCCCATGCCCCATGCCCCATGGCCCCCATGCCCCCATGCCCCCATGCCCCCATGCCCCCCATGCCCCCATGCCCCCATGCCCCCATGCACCCATGCCCCCATGCCCCCATGCCCCCATGCCCCCATGCCCCATGCCCCCATGCCCCATGCCCCCCATGCCCCCATGCCCCATGCCCCCATGCCCCCATGGCCCCCATGCCCCATGCCCCCATGCCCCCATGCCCCCATGCCCCCATGCCCCATGCCCCCATGCCCCCATGCCCCCATGCCCCCATGCCCCCATGCCCCCATGCCCCCATGCCCCCATGCCCCCATGCCCCCATGCCCCCATGCCCCAGGCCCCCATGCCCCCATGCCCCCATGCCCCCATGACCCCCATGCCCCCATGCCCCCATGCCCCCCCACATAGCCCCCATGCCCCATGCCCCCATGCCTCCCATGCCCCCATGCCCCCTGCCCCATGCCCCCATTGCCCCCATGCCCCCATGCCCCCTCATGCCCCATGCCCCCATGCCCCCTGCCCCCATGCCCCCATGCCCCCATGCCCCCATGGCCCCCATGCCCCCATGCCCCCATTGCCCCCATGTTGCCCCCATGCCCCATGCCCTCCATGCCCGCCCATGCACCCACTCGCCCCTCATGCCCCCATGCCCCCATGACCCCCCATGCCCCCATGCCCCATGCCCCCATGCCCCCATGCCCCATGCCCCCAGCCCCCATGCCACCATGCCCCCCATGCCACCATGCCCCCATGCCCCAATGCCCCCATGCCCCCATGGCCCCCATGCCCCCATGCCCCCATGCCCCCATGCCCCCATGCCCCTATGGCCCCCATGCCCCCATGCCCCCATGCCCCACTGCCCCCATGCCCCCATGCCCCCACACTGCCCCCGATGCCCCCAATGCCCCCATGCCCCCATGCCCCCCATGCCCCCATGCCCCCATGCCCCCATGCCCCCATGCCCCCATTGCCCCCATGCCCCCCATGCCCCCACTGCCCATGCCCCCATGCCCCCATGCCCCCATGCCCCCATGCCCCCATGCCCCCATGCCCCCATGCCCCCATGCCCCCATGCCCCCATGCCCCCATGCCCCCATGCCCCCATGCCCCCATGCCCCCATGCCCCCATGCCCCCATGCCCCCATGCCCCCATGCCCCCATGCCCCCATGCCCCCATGCCCCCATGCCCCCATGCCCCCATGCCCCCATGCCCCCATGCCCCCATGCCCCCATGCCCCCATGCCCCCATGCCCCCATGCCCCCATGCCCCCATGCCCCCATGCCCCCATGCCCCCATGCCTACTTTCCCCACATCCCTCGCTCTGCTCCTCACCATCCTTAACCTTCTCCACCCTTGCCTCGCTCGCTCATCCTCACTGCACCGTACCGCACTGCACACCTGCCTGGCATGGCAGCGATGATGGAGGACGAGGATGGAGTGGGGAGCTCTGGCTTCATGGAGGTGCTACAGGACAAACTGCAGTCCAAGGTGGGCGGCACTGCAGAAAGGTCGGCATTGCCTTAGCATGAACGAGTAGATTCAACGAGCCATTCACATCACACCTGCTGCTGCATGCCACCATGTGGTAGCTTACCGCCTCACATCTTCTTCCCGTTCCCATGCTCACGCCCCTCCCCTCTCTCCCACGTTCACTCTCCTCGCCAACTTCTCTCCACCTTCTCTGCCGCGCTCCTCCCCCCCTACACCCCTTCTCTCTGGCCCATCCTCTGCTGCTGCGCTGCGCTCTCCTCTCCCCTGTGCCCCTCTTTGTGTGTGTGGCAGGCGTGGGGAGGCGACCTCAAGGCGGACCTCTTTGTGGCTGTGCGCGAGCTGGTGAGAGCCTGGGGCGCCACCTCCAGTGGTGCCGGGGAATGGGTGGGAGAGGGGACGGGAGAAGTGGATGGATAAGTGGGATGAGAAGGGATGGGCTGTGTGGCACATGAGTTAAAGCATGGAGGCGAGTACTGAAGCAGCTGTGCATTCCTCCTTCCCATGCTCACCTCGTGCCTCCCACTCACGCACTCGCTGCTTGCAACATTGCTAGTCCCTCCCCTCCCCTATCTCCTCGAAGTCATCACTCCTCCCTCTTCCCCCCACCCCCCAGGTGGTGCTGTCAATATCGCGGGCCGCCATGCGCAGCGACATGCAGTCGGTGCTGGCAGCATTGGAGCTGGCGGGAGCGGTGCACCAGAGGGACGGCGCGGGCCACAAGGACACCGTGCTCCGACACATCGGCGCCCTGCCCATCTGGAAGGACTTCCGGTGCTGCCCTGCCGCCCTGCTGCCCTCATGCACTGCTGCCCTCATGCACTGCTGCCCCGCTGCCCCGCTGCCCTGCTGCCCCGCTGCCCCGCTGCCCCGCTGTCCCGCTGCCCCGCTGCCTCGCTGCCCCGCTGCCCTGCTGCCCCGCTTCCCCGCTGCCCCGCTGCCCCGCTGCCCCGCTGCCCTGCTGCCCCGCTGCCCTGCTGCCCACCCTTCTCATGCGCATTCACCCTGCAGCACAGCTCGTCGCCAGCAGCCCCTCATGTCTTTGTTGCTCTTTGCCTCTGTCCATCATCTCCCATGCGTGCCTTAGTGAAGCCATCTGCTGCCTGCCTCTTACCCAACTCGCACTCCCCTTGTGCCTCTCACTTCCAGCACCACCTTTCATGGTTTGGCCTTTCATGGCACTCAGATCTCATGCTCTTCCCTCCCCATCCCACCTCATTGCACCGCACTGGGGCATGTTGGCAGGTTCTGGAAGACGTATCACGACACGCAGCTGGAAGTCAACCCCGACTTGTACGCGCGCCACTCACCCCCTCGCCCTCACCCGCATCCTCCTCTTGCCACTTCCAGCTTGCCATGCTGTCGCCTCCCCCCTGCATCCTCTCACCACCACCGGCCCTTTAGCCCTGCGCCCCTTTCTTCCTCTTCTCTTTTCGTCCCTGTCCTTGCCTCCCCTTCCCCTCCCCGTGCCTTCACATGCTCTTTCAGCCACGCTACGCCCCACTCGCTGTGCTGTGCTGTGCTCATTGCATCCATCCCTGCATCCACTGCTGCTTGCATCTGTGTCTCTTGTGTGCGGGTTTGCATGTGTGCATATGTGGATGTCTGCATGCGTGCATATGGGTGCATGGGTGCGCGTGTGTGCATGTGTGCATGTGTGCATGCTGTGTGTGTGTGTGTGCATGTCTGCATGCTTGCTTATGTGCATATGTGTGCATCTATGCGTGATTGCATATGTGTGCTGTGTGCATGAGTGCATGGTGACATGTGCATCGGTGTATGTGCCCAAACCACACCGCACAGTGAGGGCAAGGTGGCGGATCTGGTGCAGCAGCTGCTGGGGGGACTCGCTCAAGTCATGGTCAGCGCCCTCCCCTCCCCTCCCCTCCCCTCCCCTCCCCTTCTCTTCCCTCCCGTCCCGTCTCGTCCCCTCCCCTCCCATCCCCTCCTATCCCTACAGCTCCTCTCTCGCCCTCCCTCCTGCACTTTCCTCTCCCCTTGTCTCATCGCCTCCTCCCGTCTACGCTCTCACCTTGTCCCGCCGTCTCACATCGTGCCATCTCGCGTCATGCCATCTCGCATCATGCCATCTCGCATCATGCCATCTCGCGTCATGCCATCTCGCATCATGCCATCTCGCGTCATGCCATCTCGCATCATGCCATCTCGCGTCATGCCATCTCGCATCATGCCATCTCGCATCATGCCCATTTCTCACCCCACTTTTCAACTTGTTTCTTCCTCTCCCCTCCCAATTTCTCTCCCACGCCCCCTTCCTGCCCTACCTGTGCGATGGCAGGCGGAGATGGGGCTGGTGGACGGAGACGCGTGGGCCATGCTCGAGGTGCTCTCCAGCCGCCTCAGCCTCAAACGCCAGGTGCGCTGCTGGCAGGGAAGAATGACGGAATAAGGAGGATTGATGCCATGGAGTGCAACACGGGTGTACATAGGAGAGGGCAGTGGGATCATCCTCAGCCGGTCTCACAACCACATCACGTCCATGCATGGGGATCAAGTGTTGTGTCTGCCATGGATATTGTTCATCTCCCTCCTCTTCCCCACTCCACCCACGCCATCTCTCACCTCTTCCGTGTATCCTCGCTCGCTCCCTCTCTCCTCCTTCCGTGTATCCTCGCTCGCTCCCTCTCACCTCTTCCGTGTATCCTCGCTCGCTCCCTCTCTCCTCCTTCCCCTGCCGGCTCTCCCCTCGCCGTGCGTGCCTGCCAGATAGTGCTGCGAGGCCAGCTGGCGTTGCTGCAGCGCGCGTGGCAGTACTACCCACTCTCGCCCACCTCGCCTCTCTTCTCCGCCACCTTCGCCCGCCACACACACGCCACCCCGGGCACCGTTGAGGAGGGCAGTGGCGAGGGCGCGGGCGGCGGCGGGGCGGGCGGCGAGAGCCAGCTGACAACAGCGCTGGGGACGGCGGCGGGGCGGTGGATGAGCACGCTGGGGAACCTGAACCTGGGCAACTTCCAGAAGCAGCAGCAGGACAAACTGCTGCAGGGCGGGGGCGGGTCTCAGCGCATTGGAGGTGCGTTGCCAGGGGGAAGGGAGGAGGGCAGAGGAGCGGGGGGTGGGATGGTTTCCAGCAGGAGTTTATCTTTCTCGGGCTTTTGGGTGAACCCAGAAGCGCTGGCGGGAGTGCTGTGTGGCTTTGCTGCCGCACGCAGCATGTGTGGCTTTCTGCCCGCCCACATTCCTCTCTCGTCATCTTCTCAAGTCCTTCTCTCCTCCCCTCCCCCACCCACACACCCTCTCTCTGACCCCACCCCTCTTCCGTGGTGCGCAGTGTTTGACTCGGAGGGTGGCAAGGAGCGGCCGGGGGTGATGGCATCCAAGTCGCTGCGCCACTCGCACGCGCAGGCGAGGGGCGCCACGGGGGTGCGAGTTCTCCGGGGCCACAAGCAGCCAATCACAGCGCTCCATGCGGGCACGCGCAGCGAGCTGGGCGACCTACTGCCAGACGGCGAGGACGGTGCGGGGTACTTTGTGAGCGGCAGCTGCGATACGAGTGTAAAGCTGTGGGACCCCAGCACCCGGGGGGATGAGCTGCGCGCCACCATGCACGGCCACACTGGGTGAGGCGTGGTGCTGAGTGGTGTGGCATGAAGCCAAGTGTGCACCGCTCCTCTCCGTACCCTGCCTCCCATCCACCCCTCTCTCATCACTTCCGTTCTGCGCCCTCCCCCCCCTCCGCCTCCTTGGCAGCCCGGTGCGGTGTGTGGGGTCGGACGCAACGAGGGTGCTGTCAGGAGGCGACGACAAGCGCCTGCTCGTGTTTGACAAGGCCACCGCACGCATGCTGGCGGACCTGCGCGGCCACCACCAAAGTGTACGTCGCCCACCCGCCCCGCCCCGCCCTGCCTCTCCTCTGGGTGCTGTGGTCTGTGCGGTGCGCTGTGTGTGCTGCCGAGCACAAGCAGCATGGATAGGGTTGGAAAGGAGTGGGCGTGTGAGCTGCTGCTCGGTACGGCTCTGTTGGTCTGCATCTCGTGCCATACCATCCCCGCATGGGCATGCACGTCCATATCCACATGCACATGCATCTCCACATCTCGCTCTCCCTCATTCACTCTCCCTCATTCACTCTCCCTCATTCACTCTCCCACACGAATCTGTCCCTTTCCTTCCTTTTTTCCTGCTACTCTCCCCTGCCCACCCATCCCCCTGCCTGCCCATCCGCCGCCTTCCCTCGCCCCAGATCACAGCCCTGCGCATGCTACCGGGGCTCAACAAGGGCAGTGTGGTGACGGCGGGCAGGGAGGGGCAGGTGAACCTGTGGGACACGCGCACGGACCACATCGCCAGCACCCTCTTCACGTGCCCCTCGCCCCACATCATCCTCTCTCTTGACTACCTGGACCACGCTGGCATCCTCGTTGCTGCTGGCACCCAGGGGTGCGCCTAGAGGGCTGGGAGAGGCTGGGGAAGAGGGGGGTGGAAAGGGGATGGGAGGGATGATGATGTGTTAGTGAGGACAGGGAGGATGGTGTGAGCGTGGGTGGATGGTGCGAGCAGAATGGGGGTTGGTGGATGAAGGTGGTAGGGTGTGAAGAGGGCATGAGGGGAGCAGGCAGGTGTGGAACTAGCCTCCTTGCCGTTTTCACCTCTCTACCCCCCCCTCTCTGTGTTGCTCTCCCCTTGCTTCCTGCCTGGCAGCATCTGCTATGTGTGGGACGTGCGGGCAGGCAAGGAGCGGTTCCAACTAGAAGGCCACACCAACTGGGTCAGGTAGGTGGCACCTGGGTCAGGTAGGTGGCACCTGGGTCAGGTAGGTGGCACCTGGGTCAGGTAGGTGGCACCTGGTTCAGGTAGGTGTTCGGGTGGATACGCACAAAAAAAAATCCAGATGTGGATCATTCAATTGTGCGTGATGATTGTTGAATAAGGTGGTCGTGCCGTACACTTGCTCATCTCGCCCCGCTCCCAGCCCATAGCCCCATCCGCATGCCCTTTCATCCGCATGCCCTTTCATCCGCATGCCCTTTCATCCGCATGCCCTTTCCCAATCCTCAACCCGTCCAACCCCCATGTTCATGTCTACCCTTCACTGCCACCTCCCCGCACCTCCTTCACCCCTTCCTCCCCACACCGGTGCCATGCGGTGCAGGGCGGTGCGGGTGGCAGGGGACGTGGTGGTGACGGGCAGTGACGACTGGACGGCGAGGGTGTGGACGCTGAACGACGGCGAGTGTGAGGCCACAGTGGCATGCCATGCGGGGCCCGTCACCGCCGTCGACTATGTCACGGCGTCGCGTGGCTTCATCACCGGCTCAGCTGACTGCACTGTGCGCCTCTGGGACCGCGGCGATGGTGAGTGCAACCTGTGGCACAGCACGGCCCACGACCAGCGGCTGGGGGGGCAGAGGAGGTGAGGCAGGGTGCAGAGGGGGATAGTGAGTTCTGGAGGGATTGGGGTGACGGCGGTGGACTATGTGATGGCATCACGCGAATTCATCATCGCCTTGCGCCTCTGGGACCGCGGTGACGGTGAGGGCACAGCACGCCATGGCGCATGCGCCAGTTGCCATGGGGACAGAGGAGGCGAAGCGAGGTGCAACACAGGGATGCTGAGTTGCTCATGACTCATCCCACTTGCTTGCCTTCCTCACTTTTGCACACTCATCACGCCACACTGATTGAAGATGACAAGGGGGTGCGCGCCAAGGGGTTGCACATGCAGCCCTTGCTCCGTCACGTGCATGCCATCCATCCATGCTACAGCTCACCTGTCCCTCTTGCTCTTCCCTTGTTCCCTTCGCACGCAACCCGCACTGCCTTGTCCTGCCCTCACAACAGGGGTGCAGCCGCGGTGTGTGAAGACACTGACCAACCACACAGCGCCCATAGTGGCGGTGCGTGCCTCGGACCGCTACGTCACCATGGCAGCGGAGGACGACTCGCTGTCCCTGCTGCACCGCCCCTTCGCTGACCGCTCCTCGCCCTCGCTGGGGCCCCTAGGCGGGCCGGGCAGCATGAGCAACGGCGCGCGCGGCTATGTGGGCAGCGTGGGGGTGATGACGGACTGGCAGCTCGCCAGACACCTCAACCGCGCCCCCGACCTCGTGAGCGCTGCCCTCTCACATGTGCTGTGCCCTGCCATGCCACATGTGCGCCTGGGTGCTTCTTGCCATGCCTCACCTCACCAAGCAGAGCAGTTGGGGCAAGCGGCACATGTGCTGCTGCATGCCCATGCATTCTCAAACACACCCACGTGTCATGCGCCCTCACTCCACTACCATCTACACCCACGTGTTGTGCCCCGCCATGTGGATTCTCAACATTGTTTGTGCACAACCCCCCTGCACTCTGTGCTGCATGCCCGTTGTGCCCTGTGTGCCCTGCAGATACGACATGCAGCATGCGATGTGGACCGCGGACGCATCTGCACGGGTGCTCGCTCGGGAGTGCTTCGCGTGTGGGAACCACCCACGCCCCTTGCTTGACCCATCCCACGCCTCTCGCTAAAATCACATTTTTCTGTGACCAATACGCCGATGCCTCTGGCTGGCCCCACTGCAAGCGGCGTGTTCCCAAGAGGCCGAGTTGAGCAGCAGCCCGTCACCAAGGTCATGACATGGTACCAGCCATACAGCACCTCGGCGCCCCGTGGCGTGCCAGTCTATTCGCCACACCATCATGCTCCCAGGGCAATCTGAACACGACCCAATCACTGTAGCGCCAACAGTCCCAATCCCAAGATTCCTCCTCTCGTCACCACATGCCCATCCTCACAGCACACATGCGCCATCACTCCCCCTGCCACTACCCCTTGGGCCTTGCCCCTTCTTACTCCTACCACGCACCTGCCTCCCAAGACCCATCCCGCTATTCAATGCCGGAATAATTCCATGCCACAGTGCAGAGGGGTGGACCGTGGAATGTGGTCCTGCACTCTACTTGGGGATGCAGTGCAGTTCAAGTCAAAAGTGCTGCATGTTCGAATCCCAGGGTCTGCTTAGTGAGCAAGGTGAATGCATCGATCAATGCAGCTACAATGTGCACATTGTTTGCTTTGAGCGAGCATGCGTGTGATGCAAGTGATATGAATCAGCACTAGGTTGCTGTAGATGTCTGTAGGCCTGCTCTAGCTTATCAGTCTGCTTGCAAATCATGCATTGGCATGCATCATGGGTTTGAAAAGTGTACATGGCACAACCCTGTGAGACACTGTATCCGATGGCAAGGATAGAAAACAGGGCTGCATTGGTTCAGCCCTTAGTAGAATAGGGTGTTAATTTGGTTGCTTACGACTGAAGAAAATACCCGTGAGTGCACATTATATACACCACTGAAGAAGACCAAGTGAACCACCACTTGAACCCGCACAGAAGAATGAGTTCAGCATCAGCAACCAGCATAACAAACCAAACCATCAAAGCTAGGCATCCAAACACACCTCACCCTGCCTCCATTGAACACAGACCCAAAGCGTGCCCTATGCGTGCCGCTGACATCGACCCCCCCCTCCCTATCAGCTCCTAATCAGCCCCTCATCACCTCCTCATCAGCCCCTCATCACCTCCTCATCAGCCCCTCATCACCTCCTCGTCAGCCCCTCATCAGCCAACCACCAGCACTCAGTCGTCTCGTCCACCATCCTCCCCAGCCTGCCCCTGCCCTGCAGTGTGCAGCTTGGGGTGCACCACGTCCCTCAACCGCGCAAAGTCCACCCCCTGGAAGCGCGGGCGCGACTCAATGTACCTCGCCCCATACGCAAAGCCAAAGCCCCACCCCATGCCCAAACCCACGCCACAGCCACCGCCTGGCAGGGGTCAGGGAGGTTGGGGGAGTTACTCAGGCAAACGGTACAGTTATACTCACGGAGAGAAGACGGAATGGCATGCAAGAAGTAGAAGAAGCATAGACAGGAAGCGATGTAATTACAGATGTGGATTAGCCTGCACGTAGAATAGACTTCAAGTCTTGGAGCGCAGCCAATAAACCAATAGCAAAAACAAGAAGACTAGTCCTGCCAGTTTACAGGGGACCTCCTAGAAAGGGAGAAAACATCATACCAATTCCAATGCCCAGCGAGTTTATTGGTGCGCCTGCGATGGCAGATGAGGAAACAACATGGCAAAGGCCAGAGTGAGCGAAGGGTACAGAAGCTGCCTCACAAACACATGCTGGAACGAACCAATGGCTCACATCATCACTAGCATGCGCATCAATTGTCACATAGTGGATCAAACAGGAAAAATGCAGTCACATAGCAATGTGCATTCGAAACAAGAGGGCAATGCATTGTACAGCTAGAAAGGGGAAGAAACGCAGAGTCGATTGTGAAACCAGAAACATAGAGGAGCACACATGACACGGCTAGAGAAGTCAGGGCTGGGACTGCTTACCTCCAAACCCCCAACCAACGCCAAAGCCACATCCAGCACCAAATCCTGCCACACACGCACACACACAAAGCGGAGGGGGAGGGGGCGAATGGGGGTGAGGGGGGAGAGGAGGGAGAAAGAGGGGATGGATGGATGGATGGATGGATGGATGGATGGATGGATGGATGGATGGATGGATGGATGGATGGATGGATGGATGGATGGATGGATGGATGGATGGATGGATGGATGGATGGATGGATGGATGGATGGATGGATGGATGGATGGATGGATGGATGGATGGATGGATGGATGGATGGATGGATATGCAGATAGAGGGATAGAAGTATGGAGGGAGAGAGAGAGGGTGGGGTATAATGGTGCCACGAAGGAGCGGGAGGCAGACAAGAGATGGCGAATCCACGGAGCCAGTGGAAGAAGCCAGGGACGTGGAAACGGCAAAAAGAACGCAGGTATGCTACATGTACCAAAAAGCGGAAGGAGGAAGAGGGCAGGCAGGCACGCACGCAAGCAGATGGGTGAGCAGCAAGTGGGAAACAAGTGGAACTTGGACAAGTGGGGTGACAAGCGGGAGATTGGACAGACATTCAGGCATAGAAGGTGAAGTTAGGGACTTACGTGTGCAGGCAGTGGAGTGACAGGTAGAACAAAAATGAGAATTAGTCAGCATCTGGCGGCAAACATGTAAATCAGCTGTAAGTAACGTACCGAATCCCACTCCCCGACCCCCAAACACTCCCATCGTCATGCTGACGACAATGGCGAACAATTAGGGAGTCAGCTGGAAATGTTTCTGGCGACGTCGGGTTGCGGCGGAGCGTTATGTGGATGTGTACTACTCCCACTCAAAGACGAAACGCTGATGCAAGTGCTTACAGCTGGTGCGCCTGTCTGAAGCTTAAAATTTCGCGGTTTTCGCGGACAGTCACATGCAGGCGACGTTCGTACATGCAAGCGAATATTCTAAAAATTGACGTTTCTGAAAAGAATGTCTAAAGGTTCGTCGGTATCAGGAGAGCATCCGTATCAGTCTTATGCTAGATATCCTTGGAACCGCTCTTGTTGCTGCGCTGCTCAGCAGCATACGGAAAATCTTCACACCTAGTCTTTCGCGATATGAATTACATACAAAGGTGTTGTTGGGCGCAACATTGGCAACCACTTTAAAACCAGGGTACACATTCAACGCGACTCCAGGCTAAATTTTGGGCGGCATGTTTGCGGGAACTGCTGATTGGTTGACGAGTAGCGAATAAATAGTTGAGAATGGGCGAGCATGGGGCTTTTCGTCCGTGAGAGATGAGGCTTGGCAGGGGAGAAATTGATAACACTTGGATCTAGAAATTGGGGATCAAGGGGAGGGCAACTGGGTTGGCGGAAAGGGGAAAGGGGGTGAGACGATATTGTGGGGGAAGGGGAAACAATTTCGGTGGGAGCGGAATAGGTATGGGGAGGGGGGAAACGAATTGGCGGAAGCACATTCGATGACTTCGGTTTACATTTGCCAAATCTCGAGGGTTCAAATGTTCACCTGCTGAAGCGAACACTCCCCCCAGATATTCCTAAACCACTGAGTAACCCCGAGGTCAAAGGTTAACCTTTGACAGAAATCCAATTGAATGTGCACCCTGGTTTTAAGGCCAACATTGGGCAACATAGAGAAACTGCACAGCAGCATAGAAGTGATTGTCTGTTGCCCACCCCCAACACCTTTTGGAAAGAGACTGCATTATTATTTTGTCTTCAATTTCAATGAATGAAAAATAGTATAGACCATGCCCGCAATGAAATTGCAATTATTCATATGGAGCAAACAATCTTGACACAATGCATGGCTGCTCAACCTTCACGTTGTTAAGATATGGTGGCTCACGCTATTCAACCAGTCTAGGTGACTGGCCTTATTAGAGATGCGGGGATGACAAATGGCGACAGCTCTGTGCCAACAACTGGTAAGTTCTGTTCAGCGTATTGAAGGTGGCAAGAGGGAGCACCATTCAGCTTTCATATCACCATCGCTGAGTGGGCCTGTTCCCACCTGGTATGGCTTGGCATGTTCCATCGTCTCACTTGAGAATAGAGACCTGGAATGGCAAACAATGTTAAGATTGCAATCAGAAGACCAAGAGGACATGCTGACAGACGTAGAGAAACTCACTTCTTGACACTGCCATGCTCCAAACTTTGCCATTTATCAGTCACTCCCTTTGGCGTGTATGTAGGGCTCGGGGTACCAGGAGACTGTGGAGATGATGGGGTCGTCGAATCAGCTATAACTTTCATAGTGCCATGCCCCGTCTTGGCCTTGATACCACTGGCATGAAGCATCCTTTCGAATGACCCATCCTTCTCCAGCTTTGGCAGGGAATGCAGAGGCTGATGTTCTGGAACGGTAGTCAGGCCATCACGTATCGTAGAGTCGTCACACTCTTGGCACCCATCACCTTCTTCAACCACGCTCGGAAGTGCCTTGGACTTATTGCTGACAGAGCCAGCAACACAACCTGCTTGCACACCGGTGGCGACCCCAACTGCGGGATCTTGCTTTTGAGGCGCCTTACTGTAGTAGACAGAATCTGGGCAGCTCTTCGCAATCATGTTCTTCGCTGGTACTGCTGGCACATGCGATGGATGGTGAACTGGATGCTTTGTTGACGTGTTAGCGGAGATCGATATAGGAGGACTAACAGCCTCAGTGGACGTGGGAAGGTGCTTCAAGATCCAAGGGTGAGACAGAAGATCCTCAGCTGATGGTCGATGACGGGGGTCCTTCTGAAGAGTCTGCTCACGGGGAGTATATGAGTTGAGCTCATCATAAAACAGGAAAATTGCATCCCTTTCCTACCTGCTTGATGAAATCCGCAAGCTCTGGTGAAACACGATGAGGCCAGACTCCAGCAATTGGAACGGCAGCTCTCTGAATCAAATCCTTGGTAAGGCTTCCATTCTTGCCAGCATTGAAGGGTGGCTCTCCAGTTACGACTTCATACGCCAGCACGCCACATGCCCTACGAGAAACAAGGAAGTGTAAGTGATACTTCATTTATTCTCTAGTTAAGAAAAATACTATGCATCTTACCATATGTCAACCTTCTCGTTGTAAAGTGCTTGCCTCCTTCCACTAGTTTCCCCCGGCCTTCTGAAGACTTCTGGGGCCATATAATCCAGAGTACCTAGCTGCGACATCGGTGGCTCCAGTCGTTGGTTAATGGCGAGCCCGAAGTCCCCAAGCTTCGCAATACTCTTGGACATGAAAATATTCTCTGGCTTTATGTCTCGGTGAACGATTCCTTTTCCATGAAGAAGCTGAAGCGCTTGCAACAGAGGGAGCAAAACCTGCAAGAAGTTTCCAGTCAATGAGAGCTCTTCAACAATGACTGAAGTAGTCAACGGGTTACCGTTTGTACAGCTCGCTCCTCATTCAAGCGACGAACTCCCCGGGGACCATTTAAAAACTCCATCAAATCCCCTTGAGAGCACAGCTCCATCACAATGTACACATACTTCGAATCTTCAAAAGATCCATAAAGCTGGCAGATCGCCTCATGCCTGAACGCAATGACGTTAACGAACAATGAAGATTAACTTTCCAGACGTGCATTCGACCTAGTAGCCTTACCTCAATCCCTTAATAAGAGATGCCTCCCTTCGGATGTGAACAATTGTACCCTCGTTGATCTGGCTTCTTTCGTAAGCCTTAATAGCAACTCGTTGGTAAACGTTGGTAGCAATGGCAGAAACTATTATGCAGCCTCTGTACGGTCAGCACATGCAAAGCAAAGGTTATACCAGATGGCGGTAAAACAAAAACTCAAAACGAAAAGAAATGTACACGCACCGTCCTTTTGCGACCTCCTTCCTCTGTATGAAATCGTCGAGACATCTCCAGGGTCCACTTGAATACGCATCTCCAAGAATATTGATCTGCACGTCATTTAAAAACCAGTTAGCGGGTCTCAAAACCGGTTACGTCCTCGTAATGTGTTCTCAAGGAGCGACACTGATGACTTGCCTTGCGTGGAACACGCTCTCTGATTCTCGACTCTTCCTTTCCGGAAGGAGTGATACTGACTGCCTGGAGGTCCTTGATGGTTCTGTGGCGGACCAAACACTCATGGTCAGGCCATTTACTACGGAAAAAGGTGAATGGATGCGAAACCAGATGCACTCACTTAGCCACCTGATCGTTGCTAGTCTGATCTTCGCCTGGTGAAGCAGAAATGTCTGGCTTCTTCACCAGGCGAGAGATCCAGCCCTGAACCGTAGCTCCTGCCTTAGCAATATCACTAGCAGGGCTAGTCGACATTCTCCAGCAGACGGCTTTTGAAGCTGAGGCATGTCGTTATATACGTCTTAGACTGGCTGGCGCCTCGCTTTGAAGAAAGTGCGAGCAGAACCACAGAATGTGAAACAATAATTGCAATGAAAGTGTATAACCACAACTGTACAAGGGCACGATAAACAGACAATATAAAGTACCTCTACCAAGAACCAACATTTTGTATTTCAAATCATGCTTTCTTTTTTAAATAAAATATCCCGAACGTTTGTCAGAAATGGGTTAAGCTGTATCCAGTTTCAATTTTGGCAATTCCAAAACAAAACGTACCGTCAGCCCCCGGAAAGAAGCGCCCCTCGGGGTATAAAAAAACACTGTTTTTTAGGGGGTGCGCTTATAATCGAGGATTTTTATAAGCGCCGGCGCTTATATAATGACATTTATGAAATGCGTATTTCTTACACCAAATTGTAGATCACGTTCTTGCAATTTGAATCGACTCGAAACAATACAGAGCTGGAATTGAGAATCTCGCGCCAGTTGGCAGGGAATGATTCCCTGCCAACACACACAGTCAGAAGAGTCAACTTACGTTGCCGACAGCTCATTCTGACTGGACGCGCAGGCAATGAGCCGAGCGAGGTGAATGAGAAACTGAATGAGAATGAATTGACTAAGGGAAAGTTGGGTACAAATGTAAACCCTAGAAAACTGTACCCCATATGTGCTACCCCACTATAGCCTACAGTAGCTATGTCATATAAATCTGACACACCCCCATAGGCAAAGTGGGGGAGAACAAGGGGTCACAAGACCAGTCAAGCAAAGCAAAGCAAGCTCAGGGTGGATCACAAAGTCACCACACATTCCGAGCACAAGTTCAAGGCCACAAGGCCAGTTCACATGCAGGATTACATATATATATAAGGCTAGACAAGCAAGAGCAGGTGTATATATATATGCAACAGTACAAACAAGGTCAAGGGGTGAGCAAGTGAGGCCAGGTAGGCACAAGACCCAGCTGAGTACAGAAGCGCTGATGATCACAAGGCGCAAGTGCCTTGGTGAAGATATCAGCAGTGTTGGCCTGGGAGGCCACGTACGCAAGCCGCAGCTGACCACGCTGCTGTAGCTCACGAGCAAGGAAGTAGCGGAGAGCAATGTGCTTCGTTCTGTGCTCCAGTCTCTGCTCTCGACACAAGGCCAGCATGGCCTTGTTGTCTACGTACAGCACTGGAGGAGAACGAGGCGGCTCTCCAAGGTCAGTCAGCAGGTAGATGAGCCAGCGAAGCTCCTGTGCAGCCATGGCCCCGGCGTAGATCTCAGCCTCACAACTGGAGCCGAGAACAGAAGACGAGCGGGTAGCCCGCCACGAAACAGAGCCGGAACCAAGGCTGAAGGTGTAACCCTGTGACGACCGCTGCGTAGCCTGGTCGTCAGCCCAAGAAGCGTCTGCGTGCCCA